TGTACACTTAACATATCAGACCTTAGAAGCGACACGACGACAGGCAAAGCAACAAGATTATCACTTAAGTTGAGCTTGTGAGAAAAATGAAATATCTGTCTCTGGGCCCGATACCGTTGCTTTCCCGTGCAAACCTATATAACTGAGGTCGTTCAATCCTACAAGTGTATCTCCATATGCTGTTCCTTCAAATATCAGGGGACGGGACGGGACATTAACAAACGGAGCATTAACAGACGGGACATTAACAAACATGAACTGGTATCGCTAACTGGGCCGTCTCTGAGCGAACAAAGAAAACCTGATATTCATGGAGAATTGCACCAGGTGGCGAGGACAGATTTTAATCAGGGAAAGTGTACATAATGGCAAAATAGTTTTTGCATAATTAACAATACCTTTGCTCAGATACAATGAAATATATGAAGTTCATATATTTTGAACTGCGGTATTAGATACGTATGACGCACGATCCTCGCAGTATATAGCTCCCAGTTGGCTTGTTAGCTCAATTGGTAGAGCGCTGCACTAGTATCGCAGAGGTCAGTGGTTCGAATCCCGTACAGGCCTGAATTTTTCAAGTCTGATTTTCGCTATTGCTTAAATAGCGCTATATACTGCGAGGATCGTGCGTCATACGTATCTAATACCGCAGTTCAAAATATATGAACTTCATATATTTCATTGTATCTGAGCAAAGGTATTGTTAATTATGCAAAAACTATTTTGCCATTATGTACACTTTCCCTGATTAAAATCTGTCCTCGCCACCTGGTGCAATTCTCCATGAATATCAGGTTTTCTTTGTTCGCTCAGAGACGGCCCAGTTAGCGATACCAGTTCATGTTTGTTAATGTCCCGTCTGTTAATGCTCCGTTTGTTAATGTCCCGTCCCGTCCCCTGATATTTGAAGGAACAGCATATGGAGATACACTTGTAGGATTGAACGACCTCATTTATATAGGTTTGCACGGGAAAGCAACGGTATCGGGCCCTGAGACAGATATTTCATTTTTCTCACAAGCTCAACTTAAGTGATAATCTTGTTGCTTTGCCTGTCGTCGTGTCGCTTCTAAGGTCTGATATGTTAAGTGTACAACAAACAACCTAGCTCGTCCCTAGGCTCACTCAGTCGTCGGTGCGTCACTTTCCCGCATCATACTACATTAAATCACATCACAATACTTTTGTCATGCCAATACAGCACCTCATGCTTAATAATTACAGTAAGAATCCGTACTATATAGAAGTAAACGTTTGAACATGAGAACTTAGTGGTCGTTTCGTCGAATTACAACGACTAATGTGAGGTTCAGTGCTTGAATGGGATCAATCGTTGTGGGTCTTATAACAGCATTTTCGTTTCATTTGTATTATTATTTTTTTTTAATTTCTTTGCATCACTAATATATTTTGTTTCATGTTTTCTTTGTCAGTTATGAAAAGCCTGATGTTCATCTCCACTGTGAAGAATGGGACAAGGTACTAAATTGAGGAAACTGGGAACCAGAGCAGATTACTGCTAAGCTTCCTAAATTTTTACAGTTTCTAAGGAAAATTCAGAGAAATGTGGCCCCACAATAATAGCGAGTGACGAGTGATTTCAGCGAAGAGAGAGCCTTATAGAACATAACAGAGATTTTACATTGGAAGATGACCGAGTAGCTAGATAGGTTGTTGTTTGATCATTAGAGGGAAACTTTTTTAACCCCCCCCCTCCCCCCCCCCCCCTCTTACAAACACAAGATACGTCACGGCAGGATGCATATGTTTACTTTGTTACCTAATCTGGTTGATCTCCGAGTTTATCAGGAAGGTTGATCACGACTTAGCCTTCCATGAAAATTTCAGATGGGCTTTGGTCCTTGGACTTGTATGGTCTGTTCTCTAAGACTATGATTTTGTTTGTAATACAAACGTAAGATAAATCGCGTTTTTTCTTTATTTGTCGTTGTAGCGTTCAGTGTAAATACTTGATGGAAGCAAAAGTTTTTTCTGTCAGATACTATTTTTCTGCCATGTGGCCTGCAAGAGCTAGAAAAGTATGCTATGTGTAGATAATCTTTGGCCTCATCGCCTTTTAAACCTTGTTAATGCTGTCGCATTAGATTTATACAGCGGCATTTGGTTTGAATTTGGTTACCAGTCTTCGCTCTGACAAGAGATACATATTTTTTCACTGTTCGAGACAAGGTTGTACCTCGGCCAGCCTGAACGAATTTCGGGGCGTTTAAATTTGTTTTAAGGATCTTGTGTCACCGGTTTTACTCGTCCTATATAAACGGAAAGATAAAACGGAAACGGAGGGCGCTGGAACAAGGAACCTTAAGGAGCGATTAAAGGTACAAACAATGTTACGGGGCTGAGCGTTTTAATCTTCAGGACAGTAATTATTACCGACGGTTACAAACCTTGACTGCATGATGAGGCAATGAGGCATTTTCCAAATTTTTAGGGACGAGGGACTGTCTCTCACTTTAGAGACTCAGAAATGCCAGAAGCAGGGAGTTTTAGGCCTCCTAAGTGCAAGCAGAGAGATCGTACCTTTTTGGTCATCGCTATGGAAATGACCACGAAAAATGCGTAAAGAGCAAATGATTCAGAAAATAGTTCTGTGGCTTCAATCAACGATTAAATGCAATGTTTTGCTTTATTTATTCAAAGGCAAACCTTAGAGCTTACGAATACAAAGCAAGCAAGGAAAATACATTTCTTCGCATCGCCATGATGCTAACGAAGACGGGATGATACTTCCATCTCGTTTGGCGTTTTCTGGCAAAGAGCTACAGGTGCGTCTTCGTAATGAATCCAGCTTGGAAGGATGCAACGATTGTCATTCCACCTTCCACTCTTTCTCCAATTCTTTCCAATCAGGTGCACACATTTCTCGAACACATAGTTTGGTTCACCAGCATTCCATGCCGTGTAGCCAGTCAGCGGTGTGTTGTCTGTCCAGTAAAACGTATTGGATCCTCTTCGCTGCAGTCCTATCCATGCTCCAAGACTTGTAAACCTCACCTGCTTCTTAAGAAGGTTTAAGAGAAACTGATTTTGGGTGGCGGATGTAATTTTAGCGAGATCTCCTCCCAGTTTTTGGCAGTTTCGTCTGGCATCTTTCCACTCCCTGATTGGAATGTCGATGACCAGGAAACAAGAGTTTCCATAATGTACCCAACCTTCTGGACAACCTGACTCTGATTCTGAAAACAATGACGAAAAAAAATTAAGAAAGGTACCGTACAAAGTGATAAATATAAAAAAAGGAATTATTCATTCGTAGGTAGGTAAGTGGGTGATGTTTAATAAAGAAGCCACACAGACAACTTTTCAGTCCTTCTACAATATGATATTTATTTCTTCAATTGCGCCTTTTCTATACAATATTCAAAGGCACATCACAACACTTTCAATAGACTTTGGCCGTACTGCGTCAAGCAGTTTACAAGTCAAGCAGTTCACAATGTCAATCGAAGGAAACTTATGTGAAGATGCCCCCTCCCCCTCCCTCTCCTACATGTCCCTGTTTTTCACCACACCTGTTTTTCGCCACATAGTGTCGTTTCCAGTGATGAAATATGAAGACTTTGACTGGCTCGATAAATATACCCATCTAAACCATATTTACCTACCATGGCATGGTCCATTGTTACACGGCCTTGTTTCCTTGCTGGGTCCTGAGCACCGAGCCTGCTCTTTAGATGGAGAGGAACTGGTACAAGTGCGCTTACGCTCTCTTTCACCGTCTCCACAGACAGCGTTGCATTCTCCCCAGTCTTCCCAATCACTCCATCTGCCACTGACAACAGTTTCTGAAGGAAAGACAAACTTTATTCTAAAGCATATTTGCAGAGGACTACGTCGAAAGGACTGAATTGGACTGGGACCGAGCCCTGAATCGTGGAATCATCGGATCAACTGAGTGTCGAGTACAGTCAATATGATAGATTTTACAAACTGTTTGTCGTTCAGCTGTAGTCTTTGACCCGAACTGGACTAACATATTGTTAGCACTTCGTGCTTTTACATTTTACCATGATAATTTAAAACCGATTCCTAACTGAATAATAACACTAACACTGTTACCATTTTTCATCTTGCAACATCTAAACTTCTCAATGCAGTAGAGCTTATCGCAGCTACTTTTGTAGAAACCGGTCATGTAATAACCGTCCCGCCGGCATTCACTCCATCCCCTCGTGTCAAATGAAATGGTAACATCTTCATCGTAACAGTCTTCATAACTGGTGGGATGATTTTGTGGATGGCAACATTTTGCCTCTTCTATGTCATTCAAAAACGCGGGAAGGGGTTTACCAACACTGAGGCCATTCATGAATGAACCAGTAGGACATAGAGCCCAGACATTATACCTGAAAGAAAGTACACGATATTCAAGTGTTGCAGATTGAATGAAATTAACTTTAATTGAAACAAGTTGAAATTTTTGTTCTTACTTTGAATTCTTTTACAACATCTGTACGCATCATGTTATGTAGCCTTTTTTAAATTAAATCTTTCGTTAACACTAAGCGATTTATGAATAGCTCTTTTAATTCTTCTCCTAACAACAAAAGTAATATTTGGTTGCTTAAATCGCTCCTGCCATGCTTGGTTTCATTTTATCTCTGCTTTTTAAAGATTCAAGTCATTCTTTTAACTTACCTATCCAAAACAAGCGACCAATCTGCATTTAAACAAGTGGATGACTGATTAATAAAAGCGGGTTCCTCTGCTGCGCAACATTTTCCATATTCAATACGCCCGACTCTGTTATCTCCCTGCATTGGATCATGTCTCCACAAACCCTTGAGGAAAGTGGTATCCCTGGGGCACACAGACCAACCAATCCGGTCCAAGCTCCCCTGCCAATCAGCGTCATCACAATCCAGGATCTTCACTGTAAATTTGAGAATTTAAAGACTACTTTAATCGTGATGCTCGATGGGTAGCAGCACCTTTGGTCACTAGAAGTAACAAATATCGAAAGGAACGACCCCCAAAGGGCATCCATCTTTCAGAACTTTTAGCTCTTGATATTATGCCCTATGTTGATGAGAAATACATTTACGAAGTGAGGTCTGTTGAATTATTATTATGAACGTTCTTAAATTAGCTACCTTTGCACGGTCCATCATTGCATGGTCTTGTCTCTTTATTTGGTCCTATACACTGCACAGTCATTGAAGAATTTTTTCCCGAGCAATTACGCATGCGCTCTTGCTCTCCATCTCCACAAGGAGAGCTGCATTCTCCCCAGTCTCCCCATTTATTCCAGGGGGCATCCGTAGTATCTACAAAATATAGGGTTACTTTCGTAAATTTGAACTTTTTTCCGTATTTTGTTGCTGTTGTTCGTCGAGGTTGTTGAGTTCCCTCTGCGGTTAAAACAGGCTGAAAGCTTAAATCACGGTCCCATCCGTGGTGATTCAAATACATTCAACGTCAAACAATTCTTCTACTCTTTTCAAGCAGATTGATGGTTACGTTCCTTTTGTAAAGAGTTTGATTAGCACAATCGTGAGACAAGAAGGAATCAAGCTTAAAGTATAATGGCCGTTGTTTGAAAAACTCGGTACAAGCTGGATTTCACTTAGAGATAATGAAAATGACAATGATATTGATAATGATTTTGATAATAGTAATGAGTATATGATAATGAAATGATAATTACAATGATATCAACAATTACAACTTATATTAATAATGATAATGATCCTATAATAACTATAACAATATCAACAATGATAATGTCTGGTTAATGATAATGTCTATGATATCGATAGAGTTAATGATAATGATATCGATAATGATACTGATAATAACATTGAAGATGGCAATGAGATCGA